ATAACTAGCCCATTCAGAGTTCCTTTTCGAATTGGCACACATCAAGTTGAATTTTTTTTATACAACGAAGTTACGACTATCGAAGGCTATCTGGATTACGATAAAAAGTTGTTTCAATTCGATTCATTTTATGATTTTTTGTTCGAAAGAAAACATGATTATAATGCCCTTTCTTCCTGCTACATTTTTTCTGTGAACTTCTATTCAAAAAGAATGATCTAAAAACTAACTAATATGATTTTCGTTCAAATATGAGATTCATCTATTAGGTCAAAATTGGAAATCCATCGAAAAGGATATGTGTGCCGTGCGAATTGAAGCAGTTTTCATGGCGTTCTCCTCAATTGTCCTGAATCTGACAGATTGTTTGGTGAACAGTGATCACAAAGTGAACCAATGACTACATATGTTTTTTCAGTCCGGCTTCAGATTTTTTCTCCATAGGTATAATTTGCGAACTGATCATGCCATCATTCTGAAATATCAGTCATCAAGATTTCATAGCAACATTAACATAGTATATTCCTCATAAGGACGGTCAAATTACTTTTCATATTTCTTGAAAAACTCTTCTTGATTTCTTCAATCCACCATTTTGCTATGTGTCAATAGTGAACATCTTCAATTAGATCATAATTTCTGTGGCACTAATTTTCGCTAGATATTCATTCCTTAAAATATCTCTTCAGCATTCCTGATGCTCACGACTCATGATAATGAAGTGTTTTCATCCACTACACTATTTGATTCTTCAGATAATTCAACTGTGGATACAAATCTGCTCTATCGTCTTCGGGAACTAGGAATAGCCTGTATATTCCTAATATATTCCACTCGACGGCTAACAGGAATATTTTCAGTTCGTTTTTCAGCAGAGTGGAAATTTTGTATTTATACAACTAGCTATGAATTCTAGTATGTATAGCATCTGTCAAAGATGATTCCGTGAAATGTGAGTAAATACATCGAAACGTTGACGTAGGTATGTTGAGAATTTGATGAAGAAAAAAATCACCTCCCCGCTAGCGAGTTTATTCCAGTTGAAGAATCCACCCTGTACATCTACAAGTTGTTCCGTCTAAATCGTACATTTAAGACATATTTGGAGTTCTAAAATTGACACTGATCTGGAAATTTGTACACAGGGGTTATCGGTTGGGTCCTGTTCAATGAGATCACTTTCACTACTACCTACTTTCTCCCCCTATCCTGCCTTTAAGTACGCACGATGTTCTTCAAACATAATAGGGACTCCATCTCGTGCGCTCCAAGAGATAAAAAAGCATTAGAAACCACTGATACAGATCGATGTGGAATTCAATTCTGGAAGAAATTCGCATTCCATTCGAATATGAGAGAAGTTATGGTTACTTTAAATTTCCCAAACGTTTCTCCAAATTTGCATATAGAAGATTAGCAATTCTTCTTCTCACTGATTCTTGAAGATGATTCCGATGAATCCAATCATGATAGAGATATAGATTCTCAAAGAGGAAGGTGCATACTAAAAATGAAATCAGTTTTCGAGAAATCAGTAGAGGGGAGGCTGGCCAAGAAGATATTATATGCAAGGAATCAAAAAAAGCAATAATGAATAATGTAGCTTCCTAATAACAAAGCTGAAGTCCACTTCCAGTGTAACTGAAAGTGCCGCCATTTCGAAAATATTTTCATTGAACATGACCCAATCGATAGCCCCTGTATGCGAATTTTCAGATCAGTGTCGTCTTTAGAACTTCAAATACGTCTAATTTTGGGTTAAGGCGAAAATGCCTGTACATGTATAATGTACAGTGCATACCATTTTGGATAAGATTGCCAGGTTACTCGGTTGTTCCTAAAATTGAAACCTCACAGTTTTCACATTTCCTACTTTTTGTTAAACTCAAGATGGCTTTATCAGATTTTACATAACTTTCCGTTCATAAGATACGGCGTGATTTTGAAAATTTCAACTTTTTGGAGCCCTTGTATATCTACGAAGTTATAAGAAATAATATTGCACTAAGAACTATATCTAACACAACATTTTGCGCAGAATCCAGTGGCGAACTCAATTTGTTTTCAAGGTATGGCTTTAGAGATACGGCAGATACGACACAAATCTATATTTTTTAAATTGAATACGCTGATTTCAATGTGTTGTTGAATTCGTTATTTTTTTTCCTTGTTAAATGATTCATAATACTCTATAAATAGGATTTCAAGAAATGCTTAAAAATACTAAAACGTTCAATCATTATGTATGTGACGCGAGGGGGTAATCACTCCCAATTTATGTGTACCAAAATGTAATACTATTACATGTATTACATGCCATTACACATGTATTGCATGAGTATTACATGACCATACGTCTAACACCAGTGACGGCTCGTCAGGGACGGCAGGGTCGGCCGGGCCGTACCAAATAATTTGGGGAAAATTACTGAACTATTTGATGAATAAAATTATTTTCCGAAACTGTTTTCATAATTCATCGCTCATTATCCTACTGTTATGCCACTATTATTTGAATTCCATTCATGGAACCTTTGAGTATGCCATCCGCATATACACCGAAAATCACGAACTAATTCAGGACCTACGACATCTGGTAATCCCATCGTCAAAACGCCGCTTTCAGTCGAAACGCTCGCGTAGCTCATTACACTGATGCAGACGGCCGGCCGATCGGTGATTTCTTGTCTCGACGCATCGCCACAGGCATCGCCTACAGATTCCCCGCTTCAAGTTTAAATTTTCGCTTATACGCGTCATACCTTGGGTGCGGCCAAGCTCTGCTGGCCGTCCAACGTATCGATCGTACTTATCAGTATCAGTTGTTTGCAGTGCGCTCGCTGTGCACCGTATCGAACCATTCCGACCTAATTTTTAATATACGGATTGGCATGTTTGACATTCTATTTTCATTTTACATTGTAGGTATTTATAATTTTAATTCCTATACTTATTTGTAAGTTGATGTTGAAATTTGAAATGTACAAACTGAAAAGAAAAATAATTTCCATGTTTTTGTTTACGCTTGCAGTAGTTGCAGTAAAAATGACTGGTGATTTTTGAATTTGCAATTTTTCAGTGATTCATAATTCAACATATCCATCTAATATTGGTATCAGAATTTTTCTTCAGTGCTTCTGAGCGTCAATAAGTTATAATTCAATTTGAATATTGCTGTAATGTAACCTACTGTGCCTCTGCCTATGTAGGTAATATGGCAAGAAAAATGTCAGCAGTCCAAGAGCTGAGTAGGTATTGAATCATCGTAAAAAAGCTCTGGTGACGAAAATGTAATAAATGTATAACTTCCAGAATATTATTTATTTTCAAAGACGCATGTAGCGGTTATAAACTACCTAAATAATATTTATGCATCCATCGCATCGCGGGAAACATTATACCAACGGCTGCACCCTGCACGCGGGCTCGGCCAGCCGACTACGAAGGAGTGGGGTCAGTGGGGTGGCTTGTTACAGGAACGGCGTAGACCGATTAGTCATTGTTGTGCTTCTCGCGTTAGGTGAGTGGTTGTCGATTATGTTGATTTTTTTGAGTTTACATTACGTTTTCAACAGAATATAAATATTTTTTGTTCACGAGTTATTTTATTTTTATTTTCTTTCATTTTATTTTTTCGACTTTCTTGTTATTATTTTTTCATACCAACTAACCCTTATCCACCTCCTTTTTCTTTCCCCATTTCCCCTGGCGAGAATTCTCTGACCTCGTGGTTCTTGCTGGACAATTTAATTTTTTGGTTATGTGTACAGGGTGATTCACCATAAATGTCCCCCCCCTCTAGCTCAATTATTTTTAAACCGATTTCAAAATTTGAAATATAATCTTGAATGATTTTTGATTGAGTTTCTTTGCGCTACATCAGAAAATACAGGGTGCTCAGAACGAACGATCTACAGGGTACCATTTGATTTTTTTATATGGAACACCCTATTTTTCATTGTATTTTTAGATTCTCCCTGAAAAGCTGATTTGCTCAATGTATCACACTTGGGGTCTATCGGGAATGATTACAGAGATATAGGGTGTTCAAAATCGAGATTTTTCAACTTTAGGATTTTTTTGAGACGAAACTATTCATCATCAGTCAAAACGGCTTTCATGTCCATATCTCAACTTTTGATTTACTATCTACTGACATTTAATAATTAGAACAGATACAGGGTGATCAGAATTCTGAATCTTGAACCACCCTGTAAATGTTCCAATCAAATCTCAATAGACAGTTAATCAAAAATTAAGATGGAAACATAGGAGCCGTTTCGACCAATAATGAATAGTTTCGAGACAAAAAAATCCTAAACTTGAAAAATCTCGATTTTGAACACCCTATATCTCTGTTATCATTCCCGCTAGACCCCAAGTGTGATGCATTGATGAAATCAGCTCTTCAGGAAGAATCTAAAAATACAATGAAATACAGGGTGTTCGATTTGGAAAAATCGAGTAGTACCCTGTAGATCATTTGTTCCGTGCACCCTGTATTTCCTGATGCAACGGGAAAAAAATTCTGAGAAATCATTTTAGATCATCCTTCAAATTTTTAAATCGGGTCAAAAATAAGTGAGCTAGAGGGAGAAAGGACAATTATGGTGAATCACCCTGTACATGCTTATTTGCCACCGAACTTCACTCAAGCCGCTGACCCACTTACGTTCGCATTTTAGAGCAATATCTATACCCTGGCCGACCCAGGTTCTGAGGGCACGAGCCGTCACTGTCTAACACATAATTTTGCGCAGAATCCAGTGGCGAACTCAATTTTTTATAATTTATAATTCTCTTTGAATAGGATTTCAAGAAATGCTTAAAAATACTAAAACATTTTATCATTATGTAAGAGATGCGATATAAGACGTCTTCCGTTTTGGAGAATAATTTCCCTATAAAATTCTAACATATTTTATTACTTGAATATTCTGATGGGGCAGTTCTAGATCAGAAATTTCTCATGCAAACCAATCACTCGAATACGTTTCTAGGATGATATCATATCTTTAGATTCCTCCGAATGCACACAGCTGATGCTCACGATAAAGCCGTACTATAGAGATCTCGTCTGTATAATGCTGACAAAGTCTATGTTCCCGTCAGTCGATGACAATAGTTGGTCGCTGGACGACAAAGAAGTGTTCCGATGTTATCGCCAAGACATTGCAGATACTTTCATGTATTGTTATGCCGTACTGAATCTGGAAATGTTAGATATTCTGAACACAAAGCTCAACGAATCTCTTGAAGAGGCCGTAACAAGCGAGAGGAATGGACCCATTCAATGGAATCGTGTTGAGACTGTCCTGCATGCTTTTGGAGCCGTTGCAGAAAGCATCGAGTATGAAAATCTTTATCTGCCTAAATTGATGAACACAATTAAAGATATTCCGTTCAATAATGTACACGTGAGAGTTATGGCGACAGCACTCGAAACAGTAGGTAAGTAGACATTTTATTTCAATCCTGATTTCTGATGATATTCAAAGTGGTGATTGATAATTTTCAAGCACTAGGTATGTTATCTTTGAGAGGAAACTATCAGCAATCTAGAGTAAAAAAGAGAGAGAGTAAGAGAAATAGACAGAGCTTCCGTCCACGCATTCATAGATGATAATTTTTAATGGATCTTTAGGAATTGGAGAGACAAGCGGACGTGCACGGTTTTCACATTACTTCTTTGCTTTGGGAAACGAACGATGTTGCACACAGAATTCTCTCTTGAATATCTCTAGTCTGATTCAGGATTTTTCAAGCTCATCAAAAGTATATGTTGCTCGAAATGTCTGTCCAGTTTTGATGCTACAGGTGTCAGTTATATATATTTTTTGGATGTGTGATAAATTGATATTCATCATACAGGACGTGGAAAGAAATTCTGAATTGAGAAAACCCAATCACGAATCTGCTTTTTACATGACCGAGGTACTCAGTTCAAGGGTATACTAGTGTATACCTCACTCCGTCACCCCAATGCCAATCCTTCAGAACGCATCATGAGTGAGAGAGTTCGATGTCTTTCCATAACACCACTAGCAATACCAGTCAAAAGAACTCTACAGGCACAGTCAGCACATCCCTTCGTCTTTAACCTTGAAAAATGTTGTTCCGATGGAAGTTTTCCAAAAACTTCAACCGCCAAAAAGTTGGATCTAACACCTACCTCCTCTCCCTGTCCTTCCTAGGAACGCTCGATGTTCCACGAACATCATAGGAATTTCCTTTTGTGCGCTCCAAGAGATTTAAATAAACATTTTGAAGTAAACAACACTTCCAGTTGGCCTTCGAAATTTCGTGCTTCCAAAAGTTCATGAACTCTGTGATTCATATATACATATACAGGGTTTTCTTTCATAGAATTGCAGTTCGGTTGTAAGCCCTTACACCTTCTCTCTGTGGAGGAAGATCAAGAACTTAATAGTAATCGCGATATTCCTATTGAACAGAAACAAATTTCAGCCCAGGCTACTACACAAGGAAAAGCTGCGACACGAGCAGTTGAAAATCCTGACAAACCTATAAATACCCACCACGAATCTTGTTTTGGCACTTGGCACTGTCAAATAATAAAATGAAACATTGTTCCGTTCTTTTGCCTAGGCCATCATGACTACAGCATTAGACACGGCCAGTTGCATACGCATCATGTCCGTACCCAGGTTTTTCGCGACATTTTTTGAATCGCCTATCACTTTTACATGTATATAAACAGATCCTTTCTATATTTTCTGAGATTTGAGATTTCAGATGAGGATTGTGCGACCATTTTCGTTTTATACTCGTCGTATGTCCCTCTAAGCAGAATAGCATTTTCACAATAATCGGTATTTGAAACTTTTGGTCTATTTAACATCAAAATCCTTTGTGTTTTCGCCTAGACAAATTTCAGCTAGGCGAAATATTGTAGTTTTATTTCATTTGGTGAAAAGGATCAGTTCACCATGTGGGAGAATTAAATATTACTACATTCTTTGTGTACATTTCAAATGTTTTTTGCAATGATTGTCACTATTCCATTGTTTATGCCTTATTGAGCATAATTATATTAACTTTTCAAATACTGTCAAATATGTATAGCGGTACTGATACCACTCAAATTTCAGATTTGTTGTAAAATAAAAGACAATACTGCATCACTTTAAATCTCTGGATTTTCGTTAAATTGGAACTGAATCAGAAGCAATCAAAACATCTAAAACCGCGCCTTGTGATACGTCACACGTCGGCAGAAGAATTCGGGGAATTTTTATACTGACATAGACCTCAAGCCCTAGACGGCGAACTGGTGAAAGTGAAGAGACTGAAAATGGCATTACTCATTCGAAATGGCGAATAGATTAGTTGGCTAGAGTATCTTAGGTCATCGTGGGATTTTCGAATCATAAAATGTAACGTGCTTTTAAACACATGTCTTATGCGTGAAATGCAGGCATCATCAGAGTGGGCATGGTGAGAATTCGTGAAATGTGGAAATGGTGAGACTAGCTTGTATTTCGTTATATTTCCGACAATCTCTGTAATCTTCGACCTAGAGTGAGCATGATGGGGATTGGGCGTCGTAGGAATATACATATTGCACAAACCTACGGGCACGAGGAAATCTGATGCTATTCTGGAAGATATCAAAGGCCGTGCAGATCATGAAGATATACAGGAATACTACAATTATCATGGGTCCCCTCATATGTACAGGGTGATTCAAACTTCCCGCCCTTCGATCATAACGGGAAAAGTAAAACTGCAAATGCAAATTCGGCAGAGGGAATTTGAAAAGCTATGATTAAGGTATATTTTTTCGTATTTAAACATATTTCAAATCGTTTCAAAATGGCGGAAATTACATCAGAAATCTATTTTTTCGACTAAGTCACCATTTTTTTCTCATATTCTGAAAAAACATATCATTTTTAACATCTATCATCCCAACACTTTCTTTCTATTTCATCAAGTTGATAGCTGTGGGACTTCAAAGTTGGCATTTTCAAATAAACCTCAAATGACCCCCGCCGTAATAAAAGTCAAGTCAAATTGTTTTGTGAGCAATTTGATAAATTTGATACATTTTGCATTCATTTGAAACCGATTGGAGCTAAAAACCGGCCGACTCGATTTTTATTACTGCGGTGTCAAGAATTATTTAAAAATTATTTTCCCACAGTCACAATTTTTTCTCATGTTCTGAAAGAACATATTTTTTCAAACGACATTTATCTAGAATTTTTTTTTCTATCTTCATTTGGTTGATAGCTATGGGACTCAAAGTTAGCATTTTTCAATAAATCTCACATAAATCAAGTCGGCCGGTTTTTAGCTTCTATCGGTTTCAAATGAATGCAACATGTATTAAATTGCTTAGAAAACAATTTGTTCTCCGACAGACTTGATTCTTTGTACAGCGGGGTCATTTGAGATTTATTTGAAAATTCCAACTTTGGAGTCCCACAGGTATCAACTTAACGAAGATAAAAAAGTTTTGGGATGAAAGATGTTTAAAAAAATATGGTTTTTCAGAATATAAGAAAAAAAATTGCGACTTTGTGGAAAAATAACTTTTCTGACGTCATTGCCGCCATTTTGAAAATAGTTGAAATATGTTTAAATACGAAAAAATATACCTTACACACAGCTATTCAAATCCCCTCTGCCGAATTTGCATTTGCAGTTTCACTTTTCCTGTTATGAGCGAAGGGCAGGAAGTTTGAATCACCCTGTACATACCTTCTTGATCAACTCCAATATCTCATAAAAGTAATTCAGAATCTATTTCTTGTTCTTGTAAGCGAAGAGAGTACTTCGCGTTCTTTACATAGTACACAGAATATGATATTCCTAAGCTACGACAATAGCTTGGTTATTCAGTGTCAGATTATGGTCAGATCATATTTTCGACCTGTCGAAATTTTTAGTATACTGTCAAGAATGGATCGAAACTAATTATTTCATTGGGAATATTTGAAATTCCCATTTCATTGAAGAACAGTACAATAACCTAGTCTAGATCATATTCTTAGAATTATTTAGCTTACAGGATATCAGTAGAGAATTACGATATTCGAAGGAAATTATAGTTCGGATTTCAATCCTATTATTATTCAAGTAAAGTCGCTGACGGGCAGAAACTGCTGGTTTTGGATTTTTCCTAATCGAGGTGAATACACTAGTTTTTATGCTGAATCAATTACCACTACCAAAACCGACATGAAAAAGTATTAGAGAAAAAACCGGCAGTTGTGGTTCGGACAGTGGACCGTAAAGTATAGTTTTTTTCAAATTCGCTAACAAAAAGGTAAATCTTGAACATTTTTGCATCATGTCTAAACTTCGTGAGTGGCAGTTCCAATCCTCCAACGAAAAGCGAGCCTTTCTGTAAGTACTTCTCTTAATAATTTTCATAAAACCTCTTGCAAGCGAGTAAGTTCGAGTTACGATTGTGGGGGTTACAACCCGCTCGTGACAATACATTCAAACATGTCATTTCCGTACCAATGCTGTGACTTTGTTGAATAAATTGAACTACTGTTGATTTTAAAGCAATAATATATTCATGTGTACTTATCCAGTTCAATCATTTTTGACGATTGCACGAAAAATAATGTGTATATTTGGCGACCTCAAGATTATCTTGTTTCGACCAGAAACGGCCTCGGCTTATTCGCGAAATAGGTATAAACTATTAAATTCGATTCCTAGTAACATTCTCTGATGAAAACGTGAGCAATCAGCGTCGAATTGCTCAAAAACATTGACGCTCTCATTTCTTACACTCCTAAAATATATTGCTCTCATTTCTTACACTCCTAAAATATATTCCACGTAAAATGAGAATATAATGTTCACATAAGATGAAAAAAAAAAAGTTCATCCGAGGGTATTTATCATTATTCCTTTACATCCATCTGAAAAAAACTGAATGACTCCAAAAGTTTGGAAGATATCTTTCAAAAAAACACTTCCAGAGAAACCAAGATATTTCAATTTTCAATTTCACTATATTTTTTGTTTTCTTTCTGAAAAAAATTAATTACCATGTATCTATTCTTGAAAATGCTCAATCGTTTTCTCCAACAGTAATCCTATATGAAAACTTTTACAACTCTTCGTTTCACAAGAACTAGGGCAGTAATGTGAAAACCTCACCCCACTCTCCCCAAAGACAACTGGGGTGTCTTGCAATATAAATATCGAAAATTATACACATTGTTCCATTTTCGATGTCCTAACGAGATATCTCACTCATTTTTAAAGATACAGATTTGCGGTTTTCGCGAACCTTAGCTACTTTTCTGTGAGACTCACCATACCGCAAACAAATTTCTCATAGCCAGTTTCGTTTTTGATCCCTCTATATCTTCAGCCATCTTTCAATTCATGGGAAATGTAAAAACTGTCTCGCAAACATTTTTTCACGTATTATCCAGTGGCGTAGTCAGATTTCCAAATCAAGCTGTCATTATAGCCAAAAGGTATGGTTTTCAAATAGAACACCCTGTATATTTTGTATTTTCAAAACATTGATATTTCGCGCTTTCCAAAGATATATAACACGTATACGATATTTTGAGTATAAGCCACGAATTCAGATAATTTACCATTTTATTTTTCTTATTGATACGCCTTTCGAATATGTGTTAATATTTTCCGTATCACAAATCCTCATATATTATTCCTTGTTGCTGACAATGTTGTGTCTCACTCTTGTTTCATCCACCAACATTCAACATTTATCAATATTTACCACTATTTATTGACTATAAAAGCTGTGGACCTAATTAGCAGGTAACTAGCGCGAGTGCAGAATGTATTATAATTCTTGTCACCTGACTGCCTGTCCAAGTTGAACATTTTTCAATTAATATGGCGAATAATAATCCAGGTTATCAAAATTACGAACAACTTGATATGGTTGAGAAATAAGTTGGTTAGGGAGAATATTATGACGTTTTCTAGTGAAAAAAATTCTAATATAATTTCATAAAAAATCATTCCTTTTTTATCTCAATAAAACCCCCTGGCACTATCCAAAATGATGTTCGCCTCTGAAGAACAGATATATTTTCATACCAATCCAAATCTGATAAGAATGACACTAATAATAGCTGATATATAGAGAGGGGGCCGTTTGAAGTGAAACACGCTTTTTGAAGAGCGCAAAGCATCAATGTATTGAAAATATGAAAAAATATACAAGGCTCCGTATTCAAAACCTTGGATTATGTCTAAATAATAACTACTTATTTTGAAAACCTGACTACGCCACTGGATTCTACGTGAAAACATGTTTGAGTGACAGTTTTTACTTTTCCTTCAAGTTGAAAGATAGCGAAGAAATGCACCTATTCAAAATTCGTCCTGTTTCCCAAATACGAAGTGGGCTATAGAAATAAGTGATCCCGTGAGGACATTGAAAATGGGACAGCCTATACAATGTAGTAGTGTGATTGGATGAAGTCGACTGTCTGCTCAATCCTGAAATGCTTTGTCATGACCACTTCAGATGAAATAATTCCCCAAGTTATATTTTTTCAAGGGTAAACAAAAAATGTTGTTTCAAAATACTATTCATTATGACTATGTACTGCAATTGACACTCAGCGAACTATTCGTATCCACTTTGCCCTACCTTTTACTATATTCATTATATTGCCCGCAATTCCTGACATACCAATAATATAACTGATAATGTTGTTAATCATTTTGTTTCAATTCAATCTGGATTCTCAATTTTTCACAGGTGCGTATTCTGAATGGCTCATGGACCATCCTTATTTATTGGAAAATGTGTTTCCCTTGATACTATCTGGTTTAGCCAATCCCGAGGTGTCGACCAGTGCAACAATGGCATTAAAAGATATAACCCACAATTGTCAGAAGTATTTGACACCGTTTGCCGATCATATTTTAATAACATCTCAGGTTAGTGCTCTTCCAAATGAATTCGTTCAATTTCGTTACGAGAATGTCATTCTGAAATCAACAATATTTGCAAGACATTAATCTGGATTTGTGACTAGAAATAATTTTCAGAACTCTCACGACAGATTTGGGCAGTCCAAAAACTGAAGAAGAACAAAGTTTTTCAATTCGCCATAGTATTACATTCGAATGATATTTTTTTCACTATTTTGAAATCAAATACATAACGAGTGACCCAGATTTGATCTAACACCGGTATCTTTCGTGTTACTTATTTTGATTTTTGATTGTTACTTTGATAAACTGATTCGAAAAAATTGGAATCAAATCTTTTGAAGGCATTTCTGTAGATATGTTTGAGATTATCTCCTTCTGTAAATAAAAAAATAGTGTTTTTGAAGTATATGTGTAATCAGAACAGATTATATGATCTACCTCAAAATGTTACTGCATTCAGTAATTTTATTATTGAAGAACCTGAGAGAAAAATTCAATCAGTAATCAGTGACACCCTGTTTTGAAGAATATGATAATAGTTATATTGAAAAAATGTCGCACACTTTTAGTAACTGTGCTATACAAATAGTTCAATCAATGAATGCCAAAGAAGGTCTTGTAGACGCAAATTTTTGTACAGTGGTAGAGGGAAGTGCCATGGACAACATGAAAATCTTTATCCATAGGATATGAGTGGGGCGGTAGGCGAGAGTTTGAAGGTCATTTTTCCGTGTTTCTTCAATAATTGCAAAATCGTGATCTCTAGCGTCCTATAAACATGTTTCTATCCATTTTTCGTCCACAATGAATAGTTTCTGAGATACAGAGGAAGAAAAAAAAATAGAGTTTAATGGTGTGAAGTTCATGTTCATTGTCTCACTATCTTCCGGCTTCTTATTGAATGCGTACCTATAGGATTTTCATCTAATGATGGCAGTAAGTGAGTTATGCACCTGAAGAAGTTATCTATCAACAATGGAACAATGACTGAGAAGTTTGATGACGTTGTTAAAAAAGGGATACATGGATTGGGGAATGCAAGTGATTATAGGATTAATGAGAAAGCTGAAGGACTCAAGTATTAAAAACACGTTGTTTTTTATCCATTTTTCAGAAAGGAGTATACCAGTGTTCAGTCAATCAAAAAAAATCTGAGAGAAGCCTTCAACGTCACATGATTCGCGACGTTTAAGGTGGATAAAAAAATCTAGGGGAGCATCATCCCAATGACAACCAGTACGTAGCACTTGAAGTGATACTAAAAAGCATATTCTGCCGATGATCTACTGGATGTGGGGGACGATGTGGATGCTGAAAAGCTGAAATTTCATGCTTCATGGTTTACGGCATGTGGCGTGGTACGTGTACGAATGGTGCACCGTTTTTTCATCCCCTCTATCTCAGAAACTAACGATTGTAGTCAAAAAATTAATAGAAACTTTTCCATAGAAAATTTCATGTTGTTTAATTCTGTATGCCTAAATTATATTAGCTAGACACCGCGACATTCGAATTATTCAAGAAACATAAAAAATTACCTCCAAACGGTCTCTCACTACGGGTCTGGACTTTTAGTTTGTTATTTATTGAACTTCCCGTTGACATACTACAAAAATTTGCGACCACGATCTTTTCTCCGATTTTTGTTCGTTTGTTGAGTTACAATACGGGAACAATTTCTCCATGTGAATCTCCATAAGAAAATCTAAGGTTCATGCTGCAGATTTTTGTCCACTTCAAGGTCATCCGTCTCCGACGAACGGGCTGATGGCAAGCCAATGATAAGAACGGTGATAACAATTATTCTACAATAACAGGATGGGGAAAAATATTATATTGAGTGTTTGAGAAAACCCAAGTCGTATAAAAAATGAAAAACATACTGGGCGACTAGCGGGTAGACCACTTCACTTCTTGTCTAGCTCAGCGGACCAGACGACATGACATATGCTGTTGATGATACTTCCGGTGCTTCATACCTCGCTGAAAGCAAACGCTCTCTGTTATAGGAATTGAAAAATCTTTTACAAGGCATATCGGATGCCACCTCACCACAGATATATAATGTAGTTACAGTCTTTAAGAACATTATACAGGGATTATCAATATTTGAACTACCCTGAAAGAAAACGTCACGAAAACGTCACACTTGTTTAGAAACATCGTATCTTAGTTTTCGCTTCGAATTCAACATCATTCCCAAATGAAGTATAAACATCTTTTTATATCAATCATTCAAGAAGTCATTCTTCAACAAAAATATTCGAACACACTGCAAAATATCATAAATCCATTGTTATCATTCGTTATCAGTTGAAATATCGACCAACATCTTCTTTTAGAACTGGTGACACATTTTTTATTCTTTCCAAGCAAAATATAAATAAAACGGTAATTATGGGGAAAATTGTTCGACACAACATATTTGAACAATATATCTTACATAATCATCATCTTTATTATTCCCAAGAAACAATTGACATAATATATGTATGTATAAAAGGGAACGTTAAAAAACATAACAATTCATATTTGATTTCAATGAGGGAAGACATGTATGTTTGTCTAGTTGAATGTGAGTGTATATAACATTAATTTTCAAATTCAAATTGGAATGTTTGTGTTTGACTGAATAAATTAATGTTAATATTTTGAATTCTTATATTGATTGAAAATCTAATATTTCATTTGGTTTATGAAGGTTGTGTGTTGATTCCAAATAATCCAATACCTATATACATTTGACAACTTTATTTTGACGGATTTATAATTGATAAAGTAGCCATACCCCAAACAGATATCAAATATCGACTTTTAGAATGAATCAAGGAATAATACACTCAGTTCCAAAAAAAGTGACGCACTTGATATTTGTCCTATCTTCTTAAAGAAAAAAAAAATAGGCCGATTTTTTTTTCATTTGTTGGTAGGTAATGCATTTGTCAGTAAAAAAAATATAGAGGTGAAAATGTTTTCAAAGCCTCCTTGATGGTGGTGTAATAACTCGAACCATGATTTATTCTTCATTTTTGACTCACCCTGTGTGTTAATTGAATATTGGCATAGAAAGTGCATACACCCTTTACGAAAGAGGCTTCTTTTGCGAGCATTTTGTTTCTTTATTCATTGATTTATCTCTAAAATTTTCCGAGTTACAGATTTTTTCGCTGAATCCTTGCAGATTACCAACTTTCTTAATTTATCGAGAAACAATTTTCTAATGAACTGATAACAATAAATTTAAAAAACATTTTTATTAAACACAAAATTATAAATTGGGATGACTGCTTAATACCGTGTATTGCCTCCTCTAGCAACTCTAAGAACTTCTAATCTACGAGGCATACTGGAAATTAAGTTGCTTATCGTTTCCATTGGTATACGATCCCATTCTTTCACTAATGCATCTGCCATTTCTGCGAGACTTTCCGGACACCTCTCGCGAGAACGTACTTTCCTCCCTAATTCATCCCACAAATGTTCTATAGGATTCATATCGGGGCTTCTCGCAGGCCATTGTAATGTGATAATACTAGTAGCTCCTAAGAAGTTTCGTACTATTGCTGCGGTGTGTGGTCGGGCATTATCCTGCATCAATATAAAATGATTGCCCACTAACTCTGCATAAGGTAAAACATACTGCTCTAAAATGTCATTGTAAATTTGGGCATTCATCGACTGCCTCATTGGAAAAACATGAAGGGATGTCTTTCAATTCATTGAAATCCCTCCCCACACCATAACGGACCCACCATTAAAACTTTCGCATTCTGTCATTGAATTTTGATTGAACCGTTCACCAGTTCTTCTCCACACTCTTTTTCTTCCATCCACCATGTTAAGGCAAAACCTTGACTCATCCGTAAACAAGACATTCGACCATTCAGAAATATTCCACTGTCCATAATTTTCAACAAAATTTCTTCTAGCAGCACGATGTTCGGGCAATAATTTGGGACCTTTTGCAGGTCTCCTAGCTTCCAAATAACTTCTTTTAAACGTCTTCATACCGTCTGCTTATTTACTGCAACATCACGAATTTGGCGAAGATCTTGCTGAACATTTACCGCAGTATTTGATCGATTCCGTGAATTCCGCAATCTCAAGAAGCGATCATCTCTTGGAGAAGGGGGCGACCAGAACCGACCCTCCGAGCGGTTCTTCCTGTTTGTTCGTACTTGCGGATTGCTCTAAGAGCAGTTGCTTCATGAACTCCCACTGCACGAGCGGCGTAACGTTTACTACGCCCATCGTTCACTAACGCAACTAATCTTGCTACTTGTTCAGGATTTATTTGAGGCATTTTATGTAATTTTAGTCAATAAAACAAGACACTTACTTAATGACACAACGACAAATGGTCAAATATGGAGGCATACAACAAATTAGTTGCTATGGCAACGGCATTTGTTTTTTACAACAGTACAACCCAATCTATTTTAGTACTCTGATCCTTCAATAAATTCAATTTGTGGGATAAGCGTAAGGTATCAGAAAAAAAGCTGTGATTCGGAAAATTTTAGAGATAAATCAATGAATAAAAAAACAAAATGCTCGCAAAAGAAGCCTCTTTCGTATAGGGTGCAAGCACTTTGTATACCATCACTCAATTAACACACAGGGTGAATCAAAAATTAAGAATAAATCATGATTCGAGTTATTCCACCACCATCAAGGAGGCTTTGAAACAACTTTCACCTTTTTATATATTTTTTTAAGACAAATGCATTTCCTACCAACAAATAAAAAAAATCGGCCTACTATTTTTTTTTAAGAAGATAGGTCAAATATCAAGTGCGTCACTTTTTTTGGAACTGAGTGTAGATAAGTTTTAGATAATTCATAGAAATTTCATGTCTATTTCTGTAAAGTAGTCCTATCATTGGTGATATATCCAATATGTTTCTGCCATGATAAATTTCGATCAATGATTAAACCAAGAAATTCAATATCTGGAATATCTAACGATTTCATTATTGAATATAATATGATTTTTCATTTTA